ACCATAACTTACCCTGTCTCTAAATTATTTTTGAAGCTAAATAGTAAGGCCATGAGGTAGATCACTTACAATTGAGTAAACTGTAAACTGTTTGGTTTTCCTTGTTATGAGTAAAGTACACATAAAATAAAGGTGCAGGGAGCAGTTAATTGATAATGGGATGAAGAAAGTAGGTGTTCATTGACTTTTCTCTATTTTCTTTCACATTTTCTTGTGCTCCAAGTCTTCTTTTCCCACAGTAATCATTCTAGCTCAGGCTTTTATTTCATTCAACCTTATAATCCCTTAACCATAACCTACCACTGTCCATGAAAACAATTCTGAAGCATCATTTTTATTAATGATCTCACTTTATTTGGTTCTCTAATTTCTGAATTCACATTCCTTCCTGGCATTGATGGCTTTCTGTGATCTGCCTTCCTCCCCACCATTTTTTCCCTAGTTTTGTCTCCTGGAGCTCACTTTTGTGAATTCTGTCCCTTACCCAGTCTGTATTCATTGAAATGCTTAATGACAATAATAGTTCGTCATATCTTTTATTTAGTCAGATCTTTTTCACTTCACGGTCTTCACGCTGAGATCCACTCCTAGTCCTAGACCTTTTTTATTCTTTATTTTGAGACAGAGTCTCACTAAGTCACTAAGAAGCCCAGGCTGGGCTGGAACTTTTTAAGATGCCCACTATACCTTTGTGGCACTGACCTGCTGGTAGGGAAGTAAATAGAAACAGGTTTTGCATCTACCTGTGCTTCCCATGGTGCAGAATCCTTTTCTTAACTTTGTGTGGTGTGCTACTCTGTTCTTTTCAAGAATATCTTTTCCTTTCATTTTAACTTTTTTTTGGAATAAAAGTATTCCTGGTAAACTCAGAACTGATTGTAATTTTCCTCTAGGAGATTTAAAGACAGCCCTAGGGTTTGGGGTACTGTTTAGTGATATAGCCCTTAGTTGGCATGCAAAACAAACAAATCCTATATGTAGATCACTGTTTAAATCAAAATCTTGGGCTGGGGAATATAGCTGAAAGGTAGAGCAGTTGTGTAGCACATGTGAGGCCATGAGTTCAATCCCCAGCATGGCAAAACGAAACAAAAAAAATCACTCTGAGCCGGGGATTATGGTAGAAGCCTATAATCCCAGCACTCTGGGAGACTGAGGCAGGAGGATCACAAGCCTGGGCAATGTAGCGGGACCATCTCAAAAAAAAAAAAAAATACATATATAAGCCACTTTTAAAACTGTTGAGGCGAAGATTGTTTATTCTAGATAGTTTGAAAAGCCTTGTATCGCTAAATGTATAGGTATATGAAATGGGAATATTAATTTGAACTGTAAAATCTTGGAAAGATCTTCCTAGTTTTACAAGTGTTGGGATGAAATGTTTTCTGTTTTTTTTACCTGGAGCTAAAACCTAGGGCCTTGCACATGCTGACGTGCTGAGCTACCTCTCCCTCCTGTCCAGGGTACACACTAATTTTAAAAGTGAATTTGCATACCACTTACATAAAAAATTTTAAAAGGTTTTAGATTAAGTTCTCTTTAAAATTTGGCCTTTAATTTGAGTCTTAAAGCATTGTTACTAGTCTTGACTGAGGGTTCTTTTTTATTGTTTTTCTTGGGGACCAGGTCCTTTTTTTTTTTCTTTTTTTGATGGTAGGAATAGAACTCAGGACCTGCGCTTGCCAGGCCAAGCTATATCCCTGGCCCAAGACAGGGTCTTTTTATGTATTCCAGGCTGTCCTTAAACTCAGTTTGTAGCCCAAGCTGGCTTCAAGTATGCAGCAGTGCTCCTGCCTCAGCCTCGCAAATGCTGGGATTACAGGCATACACCACCACAGCTGGCTCTCTTTCATTATAATTATTATTATTTTTGTCTTTTTGGGGGACAGGGTCTTGCTATGCAATTCAGGCTGGCCTTGAGCTCACTTTGTAGCCCAGGCTGATCTCAAACTCGCAATGATCCTTCTGCCTCAACCTCCCAAGTGCTGGGGTTGGGCAGGGGATTTAGCTCAGTGGCACAGCGCCTGCCTGGCACGAGGTTGTGAGTTTGATTCCTGGTACCAGAAAAACAACAACAACAAAAAAAAAAGAAAAAACAAACCAAGTGCTGGGATTGCAGGCATGTGCTGCCATGCCTGGCCCTCATTATTTTTAAAAATGATATATGAAATACTGTTTCTTAGTTACCTAGAATAAAATGTTTTTTCTTCGATTATCATGTGCTAGCTTTTGTTTTAGACTGTACTTGCTGCCATTTAAGTATTCTTGGTGGTAATGAAAAGAAGAAAGTTTTAAAACATTTAAGTACCAAGAAGTTAAGGATTTATTTTTACTACACAAATGCCTTTTTTTCTTTTGTGCCTTGCTAGTGCCGAAAACATTTGAAGAGTCGGAGATTAGTCAGTGCAAAACAGCTTGGTGTGGATAGGATTGTAGATTTTCAGTTTGGAAGTGACGAAGCTGCTTATCACTTAATCATTGAGCTCTATGATCGGGTAAGTTAAACTTGAGGGAAGGGATAAAGGAACAGAATCATTGGATCTGCCTTCTTTTATTCAGTGTTACATTTGAAATGTTCATGATACTTAACATATTATTTCCATTGATGTTGAGTGTCCTATTAACCCTGTGTCCTTGTCAACACTTGACAGTCTCTGCCTCTTAATTCATCCCAGCTCCTATTGCTTGTTCGTTTGTTTTGTTTTGTTTTGGGAGAGAGTCATGCTGTGTGGTTTAGGCTGACCTGAAATTTACAGTGATCCTCCTGCCTCCAGCCCTCCTGAGTATAGGCATGCACCACCAACACCCAGCTTGTTTGTTTGCTTTGAGAAAGGGTCTTGCTGTGCAGCCCAGGCTACACTCAAAGTCATGATCCTCCTGCTTTAACCACCTGAGTGCTGGAATTTCAAGTGTGTGTCACTACTCCTAGCTCCAACAGAGCTCTTCATAGGGATGTTTGATGATGGTTATATGAATTTTTAAAAGTAGAATACCTATCAAAAAATGCAACAGAATATGCATCAAAAATACATACCCTATAACCAGCAGAGTTCTCATGTGGGTATTTGACAATGGTTATGCGGTTTTAAAAAAGATAAATAGAATAACTATCAAAAAATACAGTGGAGGCTGAGTGCAGTGGCCTATGCCTGTAGTCCCAGCATTTGGGGTGCTGAGGCAGGAGGATTGCTTTGAGTTAGAAGCCAGCCTGGACTACATAGTGAGTCCCCTGTCCCAAAAAACAACAATAACAAAAACACAATAGATTACCTATCAAAAATGCATATCCTATTACCATCATAAAATTCCCATCATGATGTATAAAAATTTCTTCCTTAGCATAATTTGTGTGATCCTTGTTTTTTTGGTACTGGAAATCAAACTCATGACCTTGAGCTTACTAGGCAAGTGCTGTGCCGCTGAGCTATATCTCCAGCCCTGTGTGATCTTTTAAAAATCTAAAGCTGGGCATGGTGGTACACACCTCTAATCCCAGTACTCAGGAGGCTGAGGCAGGAGGATGGCAAGGAGTTCAAGGCCAGCCTGAACTACATAGTGAG